AAATGGTATATAACATTATCATGCGTAGAAATAAACATGATCCATTGTAATAATGTCAATAATAATGTCGATGTTCATAATTTTATATTGTTACAAAAGTCAAACTCCAAAATTTGGGTTATTTCTTTATAAATTTCTTTACAATCAGCTCCCTAATTTCAGTGTTTCCTACATCATAGCTCACGTTATACATTTATGGCCCGTTTTACGTATATTTAGAAAAATCATTTTTATTATTTCTAAAAAGAATGGATTTTCTTCGGATTTCTTTATTGTTATTACACGTACTGTGTATTTGTACTACTGCATTTTTTCTAACGTTTCTTTTATTCGTTTTTTCCTTGTCGGAATGTTATAAGGGAATATTACTTTTGTATTATTTCTGTTCATTTTAAAACCTAGATTGAAACTTCTCCTACCGAGTTTAATTAATTAATCCTTGTATTTTAACTGTTGATTCTAAATCTAGGAAAATGTCGTCAAAAATGGCCGTTTGATAAAATATACTCGTAACTATTTCTAGTTCATTTTCTGAACACACGTTAGGAGAAACGAAAATGTCTTTTTATCTCAGTCTACTTCCAACTTTTATTTCATCTGTGGCCGAATATATCCTCACTTGCATTCATATAAGTTTCGCTTATACACTGCATACATAAATGCCTTTTTTAATAGTTAAGTAAAGCCAAGTATTACAGTTTATTCTACACAGTTCTTTCTCCGGTATGTTGGTCTATAGGTTCTATTCAGTCAGTTATGGGCCATGCGTGATACACGCTTATGTGATCATGTATCTTTCGATACATAACTGATAAGGCAGATATTTTTTCCCGCAGTAGGTTTCCATTACTTTCTGCGGTAGCCCAGTTGTCGTCCAAGGTTATAGAACCCTGTCTGTCCTGCTATTTACCCATAGCTGGGGAAAAAGAAGAGGATTCGTACCTTTCCCAAGGGTATGAGCACGTAAGTGAATGTAATGCGCTCGAGTGAAACTTGAACTCGGCTCTACGATTTCTCACTCAGAGCCGCTATCCATTACACCAAATGTTCTATTATTGAGCTAATACACATTATAAGTATTTTTTAATATAACTTTGTGTGTTATACTACCAAACCCTAAGTAACTATTTACACTATTTACATTATTCGGACTGTTGTTCTCATCTTAGTTGTCATATCCACGACATTTCGGTCGTTGTTTGGTCCGGGCCGCTTCAGGTGATTTGAATTTCGAATCGAACCCTTTATAT